CCCAATTGGGTTTTGTGAGGCTGCTGCCTTCAGTCCTTGTTTGCCTTTTTCTGTAAGTTTTTCTCCAAGGACAAGTGGGGAAGGGCAGGCAGAAAAAAAAAAAAGCAAGCATACAATTCTATGGCTGCCTACTCTTCCTCACAGTGAAACCTTCAGACTCAAAACAGCATTCACCAACACGCACCTGTTTCCACCTTAGCATGTCAGGTTTGTTGCTGCCAAACCCCACCACATATGCCATCTTGCCACTTCTATACCAGATGGTGAAAACAGCCCCCTTCCTCTTGTTCATGGCTTAGGTAGTCTAACATTTTTCCACCCACCAGCACTAATTTTGATAAACATAATTTACAAATGTAATTTTTTTTTATACTTAACATTTTTCCTTTTACAAGTGATCATACCATGGTTTACTGTGTCAAAGATGTGCTACAGGCTGGAGTTGGCCCAATATGCACTCAAGGTACTAGCCTTTAGCACAGCAGGGGGAATAGCAACTGATGCTGAATTTTAATAAAATAAATCAGATCTGGATCACAGAGGAATACCAAACACCTGCTGTAGATGTAACTGATAAAATCAAGATATTTAGCGTATACAGATTTAACTAAGTTATTCTTGCTTTTGCAGCTGCCAACATTTTTGCCTCCGGTCCCTCCTTTCCCAAAAATTAAATTGATCCCTTCAAGTCAATTGGAAAAGAACTTGTGCCTTCTGTTCGGTATTTACGCTTCCCAGCCGCCATTGTACCTAAACGGCTGGCCGGGAGCTTCTTGTATAGTAATTTAAAAAAAATATACTATACTGTAACTTTTATTGCAGAAAACACACTTGTTTATGCCTGGAACTCTGGCACAAGTGACAGTGCACATCAACTCAAGGGAAAAAAAAAATCTAAAAGTTACCCCAAAAATGAGGGGTGGAGAAGGACACCCAACAAAAGAAAACAAAAGGGAGGAAACCTGTTTAACACAAGGAAAAGCAGTGTAAGCTATTACATGGCTGCTTGCATGACCTTAGATCTGAACCAAGCATCCACTAATACAGCAACATCGACCCCGTAAAATTTGGTAAAAGAATGGATGGAGGACAGGCTAGCAGATCTTGGAAGTCAAATCTGAAGCCTGAAGTAAGACGATCCGGGAAGTACTCACTGCCCTGGAAGGTGAGCAATGACTGGAAATAGGGGGATCTTGCTGTTTCAGGAAATGAGTCTAAGAAATTATTTGGAAATTCTTCTAGATAGGGTTGCTCAAGTGGTCAGAGCATCCTTGTGGGGGCCAATTAGATCATGAACGTCTGTCCACCAGCTGTACACATAAATGCAGCAGCACAGCAGGTGGGCTTTAATGTTGAGATGCCACATATATGCGTATAGCTACCTCTGCTGTTCTGTGCTAAGAGTGTGTTCGCTCAGCACTCACAGCAGTTGCTCAGCTGTCACTGACAGCTCCTGGCCGAATCTCATAATAGCAGTGACAGGTGACCACAAGATTGTGAAGCCCATCTGCAACTCCCAGCACTCATACCCCTGTAAAGGACCTCGCAGGAGCCAGTGGCATACGGTAGAATAAAGAAATCGATGACTGTCCTTACCAGCAAGTGCATGCAAAGTTTATTGGGATGTCCTTTTTTCCTTTCCATGACCTAGGGCAAAAAAGGAAGAACAGAAGATCTAGCTTACAAAACTACCTTATCTTTGTGAAAGATAAGGAAGGGTACCTTGCAGAACAAGGCTGCCAGCCCCTACTTGCCAAAGTAAAGGCCACCGTCTGGGTTAAGGTCAGCAAGAGAATCCCTCAAAGAGGTTCAACAAGAGGCTTCTGAAGAACCTAAATTCTTGTGTCCTCCAATGAGTGCTGGAATAAGTTTTTTTTGTTGTTGTATTTTTAGTTAGAATGGGGAGGGGTTATAACCCATCAGATTTTTCCTACATCAGTGAACCTGTTGCAGAGGTTTCGCCTCACTTAGTGTCCTGGTGACCAAGTAGAAAGTGATCTATTTAATTAGAAAACCCTCCTTTAGCTCATTGGTTTTTTTACACTTTGTGAAGCATTTTATGTGTACAGATGCAGTTGTTGGGTGTCAATCCACTCACGCTGACATCACCTGCAGACTTTCTTTTGGATCTGAGAGGACCCTGGCACTGGACAGCCAATAGGAAAGGTCTATATAATGAAGGCAGTGATGTGGACACCTGAAGAACGTCCCTGACTTCTGTAAACAGGAGAGAAAAGACTGGCGTGAAGCGACACATGACCATGGATTCAGGTGAGTGCCAACAATTAAGGAGGTGTTGCACACAATTATATGCTTTGGAGATAGTAGACAGACACCAGTGGGGACATGCTACAAAAGCCTACTTTTGTTTCAGCGTGCAATCGAAAAAGCATAAACGTTACAAAAAAAAAACACCCCACAATGAAAAGCATCTCTGATCTTGCCAGAGCAGCAAAGCTGTGCAAGCCAATGATACTTACTTTCATCTGGTCCCCAGTCAGCTGTTACAGCCCCAATCTTCTGTTCTGTAACGGTTACTACTTGATGACTATGCTGCTGAGGGCACTGTGCATCTTAAGAGTAAACCGGCTCTAAAGTGCAGCCGTTAAGCAGGAGAAACATCTGCAGACCAAAAGGATGGGGGGCACTCGAACCCTGTTTTCTCCGATTGAGGGCTCTGTCTTCTGAATCTCAAAGACCCACCCAATTCTATTCACTTGGTTAGGTGAGAGGGATATCAAATTGTGGAAAAGCAGCCACAGGTTACTGGAGGAGAGTAGTGAAGAAGACTGCAGCAAAGAATACACCTTTGACAAAGAATACAGGAGAGTTTAAGATAAAACCGCAAACACGGGCAGAAAGCCCTTGTGTTGAAACTTAAAAGTTGAGCTTTAAAATAATGGATAGGATGGCTTTAATATATTGTATCTAAAAAAGGGAAAACAAATTAAATGAGACCGTAGCCAGACAATCTTTATTGCTCGCCTTTCACACAAACAGCATTCGTTCAGCTGGCTTCCTTCACAGCTTAAGATGGCTTATTTACACAGTAAACCCAGCAAAAAAGCATAATGTAGCTCTTGGAAAAGATCACAAATCCACACAGGCTTTGCTTCTTATTAAATATTTTGTGCATAAACCCACTTTGCTCAGAGTAGTGCATTTGTTTGGGGGAAGAGGAGGAAACAATGGAGATAAAAAGTGGTGTGGAATCTTTCAAAAAACACAGAGAAAAAACTGTAACTTTTCAAGTAATTAATTTGAAAAACTTAGTGTTGTATGAAAGCAGCCGAGTCCTTTAAGGCAGCCACATTTGAAGACCACAGCTATGACTTGCTTAAGCTGCACTGATCCCCTAGAGCTGAATGTGATGTGCATTTGCTAGATGAAAGATGGAAGGCTTGATTGCCCTAAATACTGCAGTAGAGCTCATGTAATAATCTTTACCTTAACAGAAAAGCAATAGCAACACAACTTTCAAATAAAAATCTCACAATTTAATGCATGCAGCATATGCAATGGAAGGCAGTGCGAAACAAAAACTTGCCACATTCATCACATAAAAGTTTTGACAAAAAACCATGGAGTTGCAAACGGAGCAGCTAGCTATTTATTTGTAAATTAAGCAAATTAACCAATGCCAATCAATTTTTTTCCATTCTGTTAGAAAACAAATTTGGCAGTTATGGGTTTTTAAACCCCCTCTCACTGCTCTCTGGGCAGAATATGGTTGACATGAACAAAACTTTTTCCAATTAGCTTTCAAAACATCATACCCATGTGTTAAGAGACAGGCAACAAATGTCTATTGTGAAACTTCCTAGAAAAGGTAGGGCACCAAAAACTAAAAGAAACCCAAAAGAAATTTCAGCCAAAGTATATTTTTACTTTACTTCAAATATATTTGTATAAATCAAGCATAAAAACAGGCCATTTACAAAAAGAACGTGCAAAGAGATGTGGAGCAGGTGTCAATAGTGACCAATCAAGCTGCATCTTATTCTCTGGGAAAATAAAACAGTGTCACTATGGGCACAGGCTCCACATGTGCTTCATTATTCTGCCTCTAATTTGTATAGTAAGAAACAACCCCTAGTTTTGTAACAGAATATGCTTTTAGATTCCATTTTCATTACAGTTCTGAAAACCATTAACGTATTTAGTTAAAAGAAGAATTCGGCTCCAGTTTACTGCTTTTTTCAATTAGAGGGTGATAATGGCATCTTATGTTTAAAGCAGGGATGCACCAATACCGTTTTTTCGGTATCGAGTACCGATATTTCTTTTTCGGTACTCGCCGATACCGCCAACTCCCATTAAGGAAGCCGGGCGGCTTGTAATAACTGGCCTCCCGTCTTCTTGATTAGCCAGGAAGCCGTCTCCATGCTCCCTCGTCACCAGCTTTCTGCCCAATCAGTAACCTGGTGGGGCGGGTAATGAGACGCCGCCTGACTTCCTGATTGACCAGCTTCCTGACCAATCAGGAAGCCAGGTGGCGAGTCATTACACGCCGCCCGGCTTCCTGATTGGCCATGAAGCCGACTTCCCAGCCAAACAGGAAGCCAGGGCTGGTGAATCATGGCAACTTCCTGATTGGCCGGGAAGCCAGTTCCATGCTCCCTGGTGACAAGGGCGCATGGAGCAGGCTTCTTGGCCAATCAGGAAGCCGGGCAGCGTGTAATGACTCACTGCCCGGCTTCCTGTTACTGGAAGTTCCAGTATTGGGATAGGCAACGGGAGCATTTGGGCGAGTACTTGCCCAAATACTCGGTATCGGTGCATCCCTAGTTTAAAGTCATGCTTACAGAGCTGTACTATGAAGTTACCATCCTAGGTAAGTGACAATGGAGTCACACAAGGGGGCACTAATGCATTTAACAAATTTTTTTGCTAGAGCTTTTATTTAAACTGAATATTACTACCCTTTACCCATTTCTGCAAACAGTATTTTAGTGAGAGGTTTGGAGTGACAAAGGTAACCTCAACAGTCTCTGAAGAAATGCAACAATGAAATTACAATTTTATTGTTATGTTCACACGTGCATCAAAGCAATGGAATTGCACACACACAAAAAAACAAAAACCCTTTTCTGATCAGGTTGTCACAACTATTACGTGAGCTCTACTTAGGTGAAGCTTGCATGATTTCAACTGGTGTAATGTCTTCCTTGTCCAAAACCAGACTGATTATACTGATAACCTCCATGTTGAAAGTGCTGCTCAAACTGACCACCTTGGTTATAGGTTTGTGCACCACGGCCACCCCAACCCCCACCTTGGCCTCCTCTTCCACCGCGGCCACCTCTGCCTCCTCTTCCACCTGCACGGCCACCTCCTCGATCACCATGATGGCCACCATCTTGATATCTGTTGTCTTGTTGATAGCCTCCTCCTTGATATCCGCTACCAGAGTAGGATGAACCTTGGTAGCCTCCATATCCTCCGCCTCCCTGGTATCCACTTCCACCTTGGAATCCTCCACCACCACCTCCTTGATATCCACCACCTTGGTACCCTCCTCCACTCTGGTAGCCTCCAGTTTGATAGCCAGAATCTCTAAAGCCTCCGTCTTGGTAATGTCCACCAGAACCACTGCCACCACCATCTGTCCAGCCTCCTTGTACTTTACTTCCTCTACCGCCTCTGTTTCCTTGATCATAGTTACCACGTCCTCGTCCACCACCTTGTTCATAACCACCACGGCCACCTCCCTGTTCATAGCCTCCCCGGCTACTTCCCTGTTCATAGCCTCCTCGGCCACCATAAGACTGTTCATAGCCTCCTCGGCCACCATGAGACTGTTCATAGCCACCTCTCCCTCCACCTCTACCACCACCTTGCTGTGGGCCATCTTGTCTCTTTTGCCAAGGTGGCATTTCTGGTGGAGGAGGTTCTATTTCATTGGGTCTGCCACCTCTGTCAGGAACTCTTCCCATCAACACCTGTAATAATAAAAACAAAAAAAAAATTGGTTGTATGAACTGCGTAGTATGCAATATTAAGCACTCTTAAACCGCAAAATGGTACATTTTAAAACCCATTTCCACCTTTGCAAAGGTATTTAAAAAAAATAAATAAAAAAAAAATGCCAGCAATGTACATCGAGTGTACATGAAGCAGGCATATGCAGTTCATGTATAAGAAAAGAGAAACTTACATTTTTTGTTAGCTTTCCTCTTAATATCCTAATGGAGATGGCTGCCTCTGTGCTGTGCAAGCAATGTGAATAAAACCCCCCCCCCAGCCCCCCCCCCTTTCCCTGGACAGTGTATTGTGTGTGTAAAGGCAGAGCTGGCATTTAGTGATCATGTTACAATGGGTGACAGGGAGGGGGGCAGCTGATTACAGCCAGATACCCTAGTGTATGACTGAATTTCCTGTGGAGAAAATTAAAAAATTTTAGGCTTCAGGCCTAATAAAAACCTTCATTAAAAAAAAAAAAAAAGAAAGTCTGCAATGCGAGTCATGAAAATGTGCACACATATACATCATCACTGCACTTCTTAATTACCACAATAAATGCTAATCACGTACAAAGGTGGAAATGGACTTTAAGCAAAATGTGGAAGGGGCAAAACATGCAGCTTGTTAAGACTAAAACCAAAAGCAAGAAACCTGGGCTGTAAAATGATACTAGCCTAGCTAGAATACTAGCTATTTGAGCCAAAAGCTATAGTTTATTAGCATTTTACCATTTTAGTGTCCTGCACTTATGAGAACAAACTACTAATTCTCTGGCAGATCATAACTGTTTCACTTAAACATTAGATCTGGGAAAAAGGTTACAGCATAACAACCATAAAAGGATAACTGATCCAAAAAGGATACCTGAATATATATTTAAAAAAACAAACATTTAGGATTAGTGTAGCGCTAAAGGCTTTGAAGTGTGTAACACCAAAATATGTGTGTAGTGAAATATATCTTTATAAATTGTGTCAATCAATCAGTGTGCTAAAACACATGAATACAGATATATATAACTGTATAGTAACTTTACGAGTGAAACAAAAATGAGTGAAAAAATCAGTGAGAAACGAATTAAATTAAAATAAAATCTCAAAAATGTATTTTTCTTTGTTTCAAAAAATGTGTCCAATCGATATTCCTCTGAGCATATGTTATAGATAAACAGGCAGCAGATGCAAGGGATCCCCTCAAGGGTATACACTCACCAGATTCAGAAGGTATACAAATCGTGTATAGCGCCTAAATGCCGGTAGCTGTTCACTATCCGATCATCTGGTTCGTCTTCTCCGAGATGTATGGGAAACCTGTGTCCGTCTCCTGTTTCAGTTTGAAAGGTATGCCGGTGGGGTGTGATGCTGAGATAACGGCAGCTGTTCACCATCCAGACCTTTGGCTCCTCTTTATCAAGGTCTATAGACAGCCTATAACCAACTCCCGATTTTCCATGTTTTAAAAGGGATAAAAGGGAAGCTCCATAGTGTAGTAGATTAAAATCTTTTATTTCGATAATTTAAAACAGCACTACACCGCTGATTATTAAGACGTCCATAAATAGAATAAAATTTAAACGAGCAAAAAAACACAAGCAGGCCGGTCAGTCAGCCCCCTGCATTTACGTTATACCTTCAGCCTTTCGTGGTCTGACTGACCGGCCGGCTTGTGTTTTTTTGCTCGTTTAAATTTT